TGGTACAACTTGTTTTTAATAATATTCTGAAAACAGTTATAATGTATTATAGGATTTTAAGAATAGTTATTAGAGCCAAGATCCCAGAATGAGGACTTATTTTGTCTGCCTGCCATAAGAAATTGGACTCTTTATAGGAGCTCAGGGGAAAAGAGAGCTAGGGCACATTAGAACTTCCAGCTATCTGGAGCCAAGACACAAGCATTGTTCTTTCCAACAGTAGTCATGAGTTACATATGGCCATTTAAACTTAGATTTAAATTGATGAAATTAACTGTAAGAATTCATCTCTGGCATGGTGGTAGCATTTCAAGTGCCTAATCATTACATATGGCTAACATGACCATATTGGACCACATACAAACAGATAATTTCCATCATCGCAGGAAGTTATTTTTTATAAGCTCTGCTTTAGAACTGTAGTTCTAAACTAGGGGCAATATCACTCTCCAGGAGATATGGCCATGTCTGGAGATGTTTTGGTGATCACAATTGGAGTGGCATAGGTCACTGGTACTGCAAAATACTCTTGGATACACTGCCTTGAATGCATTGCAATGAATTCCTCGTCGACACAGAAAAAGACATTTCGGTTTCAAAAGTAACAAGCTTAAGAAATCCCGCTCTAGATCAAGCAAGGCCAAGTTTCAAATATCAGTTCCCCTGGCATGTGGACTGTGGGGAAAGAATTGACTCTGGAGAAAGTCATCTCAACTTTTAACACTTGTCAGCTTTTTGAAAGAAGCTCTATGTGTGATAATGATTTGTCACCTTACATGATACATGGAGCAGAAACCTCTGGGAAATAAATAGTTCTGGGAAACATATAAAGGATATGAAATGAAAGCAAATGCTGCTACTAGAACCATGCCTGGGACTACATCAATAAGATTAGAAAATCAACAGTGGCCAGGCGTGATGGCTCACACCTGTAATCCCAGCATTTAGGGAGGCTGAAGTGGGCAGATCACCTGAGGGCAGGAGTTCGAGGTCAGCCTGACCAACATGGTGAAACCCCACCTCTACTGAAAATACAAAAATTAGCTAGGTATGGTGGTGCACACCTGTAATCACAGCTACTAGGGAAGCTGAGGCAGGAGAATTGCTTGAACCCAGGTGGAGGTTGCAGTGAGTGGAGATTATATTACTGCACTCCAGCCTGGGAGAAAGAGCGAATCTCCATCTTAAAAAAATAATAATGATAAATAAACATCAATATTGCTGTCTTTAGACTATGACAGGTGCAGCAAATGCAAGGAATAAAAAGAAACAATAACAGGAGGCCAAAGCAACCACTAGACGCCACCTGGTAAGCCAAGTGGCAATGTAAAGAAGGAGTTAATATGGCCACATTCAGAAGACTATAATTTTTATTTGTAATGAAGAACAGTAAAACATATGTCCACCAGTGTATTAGAGACTATCTCCTTCAAATACTAAACTATGTTTTTACCATGAAAAAGATAATAAATCATACTAACTGTAGCAGACACTGCCCTTATCTCCTTGGATTCCTTTTATCAGTTCGGCAACCCACCCCCATGTAGTCTATGACTGACTCTGAGATGTGAAAGTGCTGCTCCCTTGCCTTGAGGCTGAACAAATTCAGTGTAATTTATGCTCCAGAACTCTCCGCAGGGTCAGAACAAGGTTAGAATTTTGCTTGAAATTCTATCTTCGCTTGGCTCCTCATCCCACCCTGTCTTGTTCCTAATTCTCTGGGTTTCTCTTCCTCAAACTCTTGCACTTCCTTAATTCATCATTGCACCATGCTTCAGGGGCTACTACTGGAGAGTCTGATCTAAGGCTGTAAACCTAAGATCCTTTCACATGTAATATCTAGAGTGTGCGCCTATGTAAAGGCAGAGCTTCTCTTTGTTAGCTGAGCTCGGTCATTTAGACAAATCATCGCCTGGCTCCTGGCAATAATAACAACAATAATAATAATAAACTTCTTCCTTCCCAGTTCAGTGTTTGAGAGGTCTGTTTCTCGAGGCTGCTCCTGCTACATTAGTAGTTATATTCCTCTCTTAGTCCTCAGTCATCCTTATGTCACCACAGAGAGAACCTCTTTTCATGCTCTTGCCCTCTTGTCTTGATTCAGACACTGTTTCAAATAGATCTTGCATTCATAGATCTATCTGAGATAGGATTTTATCAGAGCAGAAAAGATTTAAAGCAGGGATGTTAATGTTAATGTGATTACTAGAAACGTTGGATCATCTCCAGATGGGCTTCTCAGAACTACTCTCAAAGGAGTAATCAGAATTGTCCTACCAAGACATGCTGCCTTTGGCACATTCAGAAAACTGAGAGCTGAAGATCCCAGTATCCTGAATTTTGGTCCAGGATTACATTTTCTTAGTTCTGATCCCAAGATTAAGAAGCAGCTTCCAGATCTATTGTCTCCACAGCCACACCATGACTGCTAAGTCCACACCAGCAAAGTGTGTGTTTCATATGTGCTGCTCTTCCTCCCAATTAACCAAATTTAATTTGATCAGACATGCATGGTATTGATAAGGCTGAGTTATATTCAGGATATTAATTACAAGGAATTTCACAAAAATGTAGATTCTTTGTGAAACATATTGCGTTTACAGTAGATGCAAAGCTTGTAAACCTATATAAGAGGTTAGAGCAGGGGTTGAGCAAGTCTTTCTGTTATGTCTTCTATGGATATGAATCCTCTCCAAATTTATCAATGAGATTTTTTTAACTTAGTGTTCAGCTTTTATTCACTTATGAGCAGAATAGTTTTATTAATAGCTGGTAATAACAGATGCTGTTTATTGGATGCTAATTACTGGCTAAGCATTGTTGTAAAGTACTTCACAAAATTTGATCAATGCAATTCTAATCAAAATCCCAAAAATACTTCTTATAGCCTCTTATATGGAGTACAAAATTTATATGGAAGAGCAAATGAAAAATATGGCCAACAGATTACTGAAGAAAAAAATGGTGATGGTAGATTTTCTATGCCAGATGATATTATTCATTGTGAAGTAATAGAAATAAGACAGGATGGATTGTTATGATCATAAATGAATAAGTCAATGGCACAGATAGAAATGTTTACAAAAACAGAATGATATATATAGGTTTTTACACACACACATTTTCAAATACATTATTGACCACAATTATGTACAAGGCAGAACTCTAAATTGTTAGAGCAAGGAACAGGAAAGCATCTTTAAACCTTCGTGATGATACAAAAAAGAAAAACGGTAAAAGAGGTGATAATAAGGGAAATGATAAATCCATCCCCATTAAAATTAGCAATGTATATTTTTCATTAGCCACTACAAAGTAAAAAAAACACCAACACAAACTGGAAAGAAATATTTACAACATATATAATGAACAAAGGGTTAGTGTACAAAATACAGACAGGAAATATTTAAAAGCCTTTACAAGAAAAGAATAGAAAAATTGGCAAAGTACACAAACAAGTATTTAACAAAGCAAAGATTAATAGCCAACAAACATATGAAAAGTCTTTCACTTCACTAGCAAGCAATGTATGGCAAATTAAAATAATGAACTACCATTTTTACTCATTAGATTGGCAAAATAATCTGACAAGATCAAGTCATGGAGATAATGTAGATTAATAGGGAAATAGGAACATATGTGCACTTACAGAGGGAAAATAAATTGCTACCTCTGCCTTGGAAAACAATAATATTATCTAATAAAATAGAAGATGCATGCATGTCTTAGCCTGTTTGTATGGCTATAACAAAATAACTTAGACTGGGTATTTACAAAGAATGCAAATTTATTTCTGAAGGCTGGGAAGTCCCAGATTAAGGTGACAGAAGTTTGAGTGTTCTGCTGAGGGTGGCAAATTCACACGGTAGAAGGAGGAAAGACAAAAGAGAAGAATACTGCATTCTCCATGGCAGAGACATGGAAGGACAAAAGGGTCAGATAGCTCTCTGAAACCTCCTTTATAAGAACATTAAGGGGCACTGCCTTCAAGACGTAATCACCTTCTAAAAACACCATCTCTTAAAACTATCACCTTGAGTCATAAGTTCCACCATATGAATTTTGGGGGGGACACATACACACAAAGCATGACTCAGCAATATGAAACCTAGGCAGATACTTTTGAGAAATTCTTATACCTGTGCACTGGGATCCATGCAAAAGACCTAGAGTTAAAAGAACTTACTGTGGCTAATTTGAACAAACTTAATTTTGAGTAAAACCACAAAAAATACTTACAGAATTATATCAGTTACATAATGTTTAGGAACATAAAACTTAAATATACAAATAATGTGTCAAATATGCATAAATACATATGTAATAACATTAAGACATACAAGGGAATGATAAATAAAATTTGGAATCGTGGTTTTCTGTTAGAGGGAGGGAGAAAAATGGGATGAACTGGACATACAGATTATTCTGTGTCTTAACTGGGGCAGTGGACAAAAACATGTTTGTTTATTTTTATTGTATAGAGATAAATTTTACTTATATACATGTTGTTATATATTTATATGTTTATATTTATTACTTACTGCATGATTTTAACAGAAAAAGAAAGTAATTTTACAACAAAATTAATGGTAAGAAAGGAAAAATGTTATTAAAGTTGCAAAAGGCAAGAGTAAAGAGGGATTTTCATTTTACACATTAATTAACATATATTTTCCATTTTTCATATCTCCCCCATGAATCAGCCAAGAAAGTCTCCTATTTGTTTTCCCCCATATATGCTCCCTTGTATTAGTCAAAGTCTAGTCAGGAAAAAGAAATCTGAATGTTTCAATAGAATTGATGGAATACAATGATTGATTGGTTACTGGATATTCCACATGTAAATGCTGTAGTACAAAGACTGGTCACATTGGTGGGACAACACTTGAAAGACAAATAGTGGAACGTGAGGTAAACTAATGGTTATTAACTCCAGGAAGGCTGGGGAACTAAAAAGGAGGTGTTGGAACCCGGCCCTGGGAGCAGAAGAAAGTTCTCACCTCAAGGGCTGCCACCACTTTCTGCACTGAGGTCTGAAGGGAAGGACCACTCTTTGAATGCTGCAATGGTAGAAGCCATGCAGTCCCTTCCAGAGACACTGCCAATGAAGGAAAAGACAAAGAATAAGTGGAAAGATTTCTCCCTCCTCCTGCTTTCTAATCTGCCCCCATGCCTCTTGCTGACAACCTAACAAGAAGCTAACTGGCAAAGAAAAATGGGAAATGTATTTTGTAGGCTCCCAATACTCAGTCTTAGTTTCTCAAAATTTGCACAGCCATATTAAAGTTTTGTTCTGTTTTTTACATAGGTTACTGTCTGTAAAACTCAGAGTGAAATTAAACATAAGGAACTCAAAAATATTTTTTACTGGTGTTGCTAAATCTTGTCTTCCTAAGTAAGGCTATGTATCCAGACAAAATTCTCATTTGTTATGATTGACTCTTATATAAAAAATGATGTTACTGAGATTGGAAGAGTGTGGCGGGTTGTAAGCTAAGGTGGCTAACCCACCTGTAGCCAGGAGATGGATAAGGCTGATGTGATTCCTCACAGTCAGCTCATATCTGAAGTTTTTCTTATAACACAAACCCAAACAACGAAAACAGGGACCCAAGAGAAGCCAGCTTATGCTGCCAGATATGTCATGAAGGCCAGCAGTCTCTATCCTGTCTCATCCCCAGAAGTGGAGGATCATGAAGTTTGGGGTGAGGGTGAGGAACCAGTACCATTTGTTTTTCTACCATTTTCTTTTGTCCTTTATTTAAGAATTGTTTTAAAAATAAATATTTTCCTTAACTTAGTAACTGATATTCTTGAATGGCCAAATTGTTGGTGTCCCTGTCTAAGAAATGTACCTGGAATTTTGGTTTTATTCAAGTATTCACCATGCAACAGAACTGGAGACAATTGCCCTTGAGGAGAATGGTTTATTTCTGACAGTTTCCAAGCAGAACAGGGCACATCATCCTATGCAAAGTCACAGAATAGAATACAAAGATTGGTCACAGGCAGAGGGAGAGTGAGTTAGAGCAAACAGAAAGCCTTTGTGGTGTTTTCCAGAGAAGGCATGGGAAGGGCAGAGCCGGGGTACTGACCAGGAGAGTATTGACAATATTAAATAATTTTATAGGGCCCTAGCATGTAAGGGCTAGCCCTAGATGTCTGAGATTTAGGCCTGGAGAGATTAGGCCAAAGGGATTAGTGTCCCACAAATTTAAGAGCCCAGAGAAAACAGATAAACCAGGTGGTGGAGAAGCGGGGGAACTGTAGATAGATTGTTTGCTTTGCATATCAAGGACATGCTGACAGCGAGTTATTTGCTCTCTCTAGAACTTAGCTAACACTGGGAGGAGCATTGATTCCAGAGTCAGCAAGGCCCCAGATGTGAAAACATGAGATATGAAAACTAGAAAACCTGATTAATGCATTGATCTATTAGGGATAATTAATATCAACAGTAAATTCATCAAGGTGGCCCAGTTCCTAACAACCCATGGGTAATCAGAATTTATTTTTATGTTGATGTGTGTTCACACCCACTCCCTTGTCATTTAAAGCACCTACACTGTTGATGTCAATCCTTTGTGTTGCTGTAGCCAATGTTAAAGTATTAATCATTCTCCTTATGATGCTTCCTTCTCAACAGGCACCGCCCTCATTTATCACTCATCCCTTTAAGGGACAGGTGCAGGGTAAATGCTGCTCCCAGCACACCATCCCTAAGAGCAGAAGTCAGAATGCTTTCCCTGTACACTTTAGCAAGTGGATGTGCTTAGGTTTGACTCTAATTTGTTAGAAATGATTTATTTTTCTGGTATCTCATAACTGCTATCATTCTCTTATTTTTTTGATACAACTTTGAGAATTCCCTAGACCTTGATGCTAAATCTGCAATGCTAACCCAAGAATAAAGGGATAGGGTGGAGATGGCTAAAGGGGTTTTGAGAAATCAGCCCAGGGCTCAATTCAAATGACCTGCCAAGGAACTACTGGATAATTGCATATTTTTATTTTCTGGAGACAAGATTGGAACATTGGGAATATGACAAAAGAGGGCCTGATGCTTTATTTCTTTTAAACTATTTGGTTGGGATGTAAGAATAACAGACAAAAGCCTCTGGGTTTAGCAGAATCATTAGCGTGAAATAATGTACCTGACTCCAAAAATACGTCAAAAAGCAATACGGAATATAAGCCAATTCCCAGCAGTTTGAATTTATTATTTATGATGCCAGTTAAACAAGGCTAATGTGCTCTGCAAAAGTGGTTATAGCTGCTATGCAGTATTAGTAGAAATTAGTCAGATGTTACCAGCTCAATACAAAGTAAATTTGCAAAGGTTTCTGCAAATGACAGTTCGGCTGAGTTAACATGACAGTTGAGAGCATCCAAGCTGTTTCAGTATTGGCAAGTAGGTTTAGAACCAAAGTCAGCATTTATCACTGTAGAAAACAAATTAAAACAAAGTGGGGGGAGAGCCAGTAATGAGCTTCAGTACTTTACCCATCATGCAATAACAGTCCCCCTCCTCCTCTCTAATCCTGGTCTTATCCGTTTCCAAGAAAAGCTGTGAGGGTCACCTTTATTTTACATTGTTTGGCTTCTTCTCGACCTAGCTTCCTCTCTTCAAATGGTGTGCCCTAGGAATACCCTCTAGCATGTCTTTTGCCCTACAGGTCTGTAATTAAGTCAGCTTGATGTTTCCCAAGGAAATGGTGCAAGAGGATCTTGTACTGGGCAGATTAGTAAAATTATTATGCTAATAAAAATACATAGAATCATAGTTCTTTATTTATAATTTATAAACACTATCTCATAAATATATTAATGATGTATTTTTTATAAAAACTTAAGGCAATAAAATATTGGCTTATTCTGAAACCTTATACCACATTTCAAGCACCAGAGAATAAACATATATTCAGAAGTTCCACTTACATTTCTCAATCTGGGCAAGAAAATTTTCATCTGTCTGTTTAAAGCTTTCTGTTAAGAAGAAGCCATATTCATGTAGGGGGGCTTTGAATAATTCTTGAGCATTGAGAACGAAATTGGTGTCCTTCTAGTGAAAGAATGGGCCTCAGGAAATTCATTTTCAGATTGGATTTGAGTATTTTTTGCCCCTCATCTCTGCTTCTCTCTCCTCCCCACCCTCCCCTCCTCTCCCCTCCTCTCTCCTGCCCTACCCTTCTCTCCCTTAGTCTCCCATCCCCTCCCCTTCTCTTCCTTTCTCATCCCTTTCATGTTTTTTTCTTTTAATAGGCATGTGCAGTGCACTTACTAAATATAAATTCTCCTCCTTTGGGTAAAAATGAAGCAATGGTCCATTCCCCATTTATCTTACCTCAAATTATTGGATGGGTAAATCTTAAGAGCTTTAAACATGCTTTGAACATGTCAGGAAATATAAAAATTACTGATTTAATTCTCATTATTAATTTTACATTTGGAATATAGGACTCCTGAATCTGTATGCAAATGTATGTGAATTAGATGCATGTACAAATTAGATCAAGAGTCCAGGCTCTTAAACCAAACATAAGGCTGTTCAAGTGGTATTCATGACACTTAGCTTTCTTCTTTTTTAACTGTTCAACGTCTGTCACTACTATTCTGAAATAACTGAATTCATTAGTCTAATTCAGTGCCTATTTTTCCATGAAGACTATTGCCCTAGTCTCCAACCTATTCTTAGAGCCATTCTGAAAATTGTTGATAATTTGAAAATGTCTCTTGACCATAGAAACAAATAATACAAAATTTCAGATGCTTTAATAGTAGAAAAATTTTTAACACCATCCAGTTTTATCTTTAAAAACATCTACTGTGACACTTACTTCAGAAAATATACATAGTAGCATATGCTTTTAATTATTTCTATAGCCATTCTCTTACCTGAGTTTTTCCACTATCTTTAAAATAGTTGAAGCAGGCATAATTGTATTGTATTTAAATAAACAAGTCACTGTATTGTATTTAAATAAACAAAGGCCTAGAGGCAATAAGTGACATGCCCTGGTTTACCTAGGAAATAACTGATAGTTATATACATTTATTTGCTGGTCTGCTGCAAACTGGGTGGTTTAGACAACAGAGATTTATTGTCTCTCAGTGTGAAAGTCAGAAATTTGCAATCAAATTGTTGGCAGCATTATATCCTTCTGTCGGGTGTGAGGGAAGGATCCATTCCATGGCTCTCTCCTTGGCTTACAAGCTTACAGGGTTCTATCCTTCTGTGAGGTGTGAGGGAAGGATCCATTCCATGGCTTTCTCCTTGCCTTACAAGCTTACGGGGTTATATCCTTCTGTCGGGTGTGAGGGAAGGATCCATTCCATTGTTCTCTCCTTGGCTTACAAGCTTACAGGGTTATATCCTTCTGTGAGGTGTGAGGGAAGGATCCATTCCATGGCTCTCTCCTTGGCTTACAAGTTTACAGGGTTATATCCTTCTGTGAGGTGTGAGGGAAGGATCCATTCCATGGTTCTCTCCTTGGCTTACAAGTTTACAGGGTTATATACTTCTGTCGGGTGTGAGGGAAGGATCCATTCCATGATTCTCTCCTTGACTTACAAGCTTACAGGGTTCTATCCTTCTGTGAGGTGTGAGGGAAGGATCCATTCCATGGCTTTCTCCTTGCCTTACAAGCTTACAGGATTCTATCCTTCTGCAAGGTGTGAGGGAAGGATTCATTCCATGGCTCTCTCCTTGGCTTACAAGTTTACAGGGTTATATACTTCTGTGAGGTGTGAGGGAAGGATCCATTCCATGGCTTTCTCCTTGCCTTACAAGCATACAGGGTTATATCCTTCTGTGAGGTGTGAGGGAAGGATCCATTCCATGGCTTTCTCCTTGCCTTACAAGCTTACGGGATTATATACTTCTGTGAGGTGTGAGGGAAGGATCCATTCCATGGCTTTCTCCTTGGCTTACAAGCGTACAGGGTTATATCCTTCTGTGAGGTGTGAGGGAAGGATCCATTCCATGGCTTTCTCCTTGCCTTACAAGCTTACGGGGTTATATACTTCTGTGAGGTGTGAGGGAAGGATCCATTCCATGGTTTTCTCCTTGGCTTACAAGCGTACAGGGTTATATCCTTCTGTGAGGTGTGAGGGAAGGATCCATTCCATGGCTTTCTCCTTGCCTTACAAGCTTACGGGGTTATATACTTCTGTGAGGTGTGAGGGAAGGATCCATTCCATGGCTTTCTCCTTGCCTTACAAGCTTACGGGGTTATATACTTCTGTGAGGTGTGAGGTAAGGATCCATTCCATGGCTTTCTCCTTGCCTTACAAGCTTACGGGGTTATATCCTTCTGTGAGGTGTGAGGGAAGGATCCATTCCATGGCTTTCTCCTTGCCTTACAAGCTTACGGGGTTATATACTTCTGTGAGGTGTGAGGGAAGGATCCATTCCATGGCTTTCTCCTTGCCTTACAAGCTTACGGGGTTATATCCTTCTGTGTGGTATATATTCCATGGCTCTCTCCTTGGCTGTCTTCATGTTCAAATGGCATGCTTCCTGCAGGTATGCCTGTGTCCAAATTTCTGCTTGTTATTAGGACACCATCATATTGGATTTGGATCTGCCCTAATGGCCTCACTTTAACTTTATTACCTCCATATATGACTTGTCTCTAAATAAGATCTCATTCTGAGGTGGGGGGCAGGGGTGGGATTAGGACTTTAGAATATGAATTTTGGGGAAACACAATTCAACCCATAACAGTATGAAAAACCACATCCTTTAATTTATGCCTTAATACTTTGAATACCAAGCCATGATGCTAAGAAAAGCTGGGTAAAGATGAGAAAGTGTTAGCAGGATGAATCAAAAGAGACCTTAATGATGTGAAAATGGGGCAAACGGGAAATATTTTTTTAAAAAACCAAGTGCCTACCATAGATTGCATACAATTTGCCAAATTGCCCCAAGATGGGTCTAAATTTATTAATATACAACCTTTCTTTAATAATTTGATGTGATTAACTATAACAAAAGTGATGTTTAGGATGAAGTAAGAGAGTACTTGCCTACTCTGTTTCGTTTATGGTAATAAATTCCAATTATTTGGATTTGACATTGGTCTGCACAGTCTAAGGTTGACTCCAAGAGCTTTCTCTGCTCTGTTTAAGTACCAAAGACAAATGACTATGCTGAATTCTTTGGCATAGCTCCATTTATTTAAAGCTCATCTATGCTTTCCTCTTTTCTCTTTGGGGGCCTCGTGGGAAAAGAAAATACACACTGACCAAATGCTGAGCCTTATGTGAATGCTGTGATTTCAGAAGAGAAGGGAGCTAAGCCTGAGACTCAGCTTCTCTGTTTTAGGGGCCTCTGTTGATAAATTATCCTAATAGAAATGGATACCAAATTTGTGTGTGTGTAAACTTGTGAGAGGTCACGGTCCCCCTCCCTTTTTTCCCACATATCTCCTTGGAAGTTGAACCCATAAAATACTGAAGCTATCAATTCACAAGACATGTGCACAGATCTCGTTTAATTCTGTCCCTAATATTGCTTTCATAAATATTTGAAAATTACAGCTAAAGCCAAATTGTGCTTCTCACATAATGGAACTGCAAGCTAGTATAGCAGTGAAATCCTTTAAAGTTCCTGGAGGATGGAAGTGAGAGATGATGAGATTTGGGGACAGTTTATGTGAACAATTTGTTATGCGTGCAGGAGGAATGGCGACTTGATGACAGATTCACTTCTTGGTCCTGAACCTTAATTAACAAGGCCCTCTGAGTAACATGCTGAGAAACAATAGGAAAATTCATCTGAGCATTTCACAGATTATTCACTTATAATCTTTGGGGATTTATTTTATTATTATTTTTCTTTCTTTCCGAGCTGCAGCTTTGTTGCCTTGACATCCACACTCAAGAGTTATTGGTATCAAACCAAGCTATATAAAAAGCTATCAAGCACTTCTCAGATTTTCCACAGTTCAAAGCGGTGTTGGCAGCCTGCCAGCCATGAAAGATGAGCTGCACCCCAATGTGATGAGTGTGGCTGCACGTGCAAAAGGGAGCTTGTGGGGGAGGTAGGAAAGGCTGCCAACTTAGAGAGCCCCTCAGAGGAGAAAGCTGGATGCATCCCCACACACCTGAGGGTCAATTCTGCTCCTGCATGGAGCAAATAGAACTAATAATGTTGACTGGGTACAACCATCATAGAAACAGTACATTCTTGCAAATGATTTTTTTTTAAAGAGGAGAATCCAGCTATGATTAACCAGAAAAAAAAACATCAATGAGGATTTTATTTATTTTGGCCCTAGATATACCAGAGACTTGAGGTCTGGGAATCTGCTGAGACCAAAACACCAATGTGTGGGACGTGAGGTGATAATACTCTTCTTACAGACAGAGATTATAAAATTAGAGGTTTCTAAGAAATCTTGGAACATTCTATCATCCTTATTTTGCCTTTACCAAGTTTCAACTTTACTTTTAAATTCGTGTTCAGTGTTTTCTAATCCCAGTTGGTAAATGGAGGTGAAAACATGAGGCATGTTTTAGTTTGTTTTGATCTTTCCAAACCCAGTGATGCTTGGGGTCATTTTCAGGTAACATGATAGGCCGTGTTCTTGCAAATTAGGACATTAAGACCCAGAGATGTTCTCTTCTTATCAAAGCCCACATAGCTAGCAAACACCAGAACTCTAACCCAAAATCAGATTTCCACAATCACCAGCCATCCTCTGATGCAGGAATATATCTTCCACTGACTAACACCTTATTCACCTATAAATGCAAACATTATATAAACCTATGTAGAGCATCAGTCCCCAACTGTTTTGGTACCAAGGAGTGGTTTCCTGGAAAAGAATTTTTCCACAGACTACAGGGTGTAGGGGGATGGTTTGGGGATGAAATAGTTCCACCTCAGATCAACAAGCGTCAGATTCTCATAAGGAGCATACAACCTAGATCCCTGGCATGCACAGTTCACAATAGGGTTTGCACTCCTATGAGAATTAAATGCTGCCTCTGATCTGAGAGGAGGTTGAGCTAAGGTGGTAATGCTCACTCGCCAGCCACTCACCTCCTGCTGTGTGGCCCAGTTCCTAACAGGCCCAAGACGGGTAGTAGTTGGGGACCCCTGATGTAAAAGACTGTTGATGCCCCAAGTATTTTCTCTGCTGGTCATTTGTGGGTATTCTATGTTACACAAATTGGTGTAAGATAACCCACTGAAGTGACCCTCAACCAATGAGGGATAGAAATTGACAAATACATATCACAGCATCATCACGTCTCGGTGACATAATTTCAAAGCACATTCAACATAGGTTCTCAAAGTGTCCAGGTTGTACTGAAACTTAGTTGACTAGTAGTGACCTATTCATTAATTTGCCTTTCCTTGTCTCAGTTCCTCCCTCTCACTTTCAAATACATTACTTGCACGCAAATCAACCAAGCTAACACCATTAACTTGCATACTTCTCACTTACTACACCCATCAATGAACCCAGAATCCAAAGATCTCACAACAGAAAGAAAAACCCAACTGGATCTTTAGTTTGTGTTCCAGATATAGCTTTACCTATGACAAAAGAATTGCTACTTGCTTTTCAAAGTACTTTTTGCTACTATGGTATTATAATAATGCAATATAATTGGAGGACAGACTTGTACAAAAGCAATTGAGAATAAAATGAATATCTACCTCTAAATTCTACCAATCAGAAATAACTATTATTATATGTTGGCAAATATAATTACATACACATATATGTTTACAAAATAAAACGATTTCATATACTGTTTTATAACTTTTTTTTACATAATATATCATGAACATTCTCGAGTCTTCAAATATTATTTTGTAGTATTATGTTTGCAATGGCAGACAGTTTCACCTGATCTATACACAGAATTACACTCAGTATTGTAGGATATCATTTTTCTATTTTCTGCTAACATTAACATCCTTAAACTTACAAAGTGTCCTTATTTATATTTCTAATAGCTGTAAATAAAAGGGCCAGCAGCTTCACTGCAATCAGCATTATATCCTAATTAATTTGTTAATTTGCTAGTAGAAAATTGTATTTTAACACTTTCAAACATATTTTTCTTTACTCATTGATCTCTCTTTCATATAACTATTATAAGTGTAGCAGCCTCCTTGGCTGCTGAGAATGAGTAAAACCTTGTGAACTTTTCAACTTACATTTCCTTGTGGTTGAAAAAGATCCCCAACAGCTGTCTGTGAATTCCATTGTAAGCAGCTGCTGGTTTTGGGTGGGTATTGGGGCAGTAAGAAAGTGCCAAAAGATTGAAGAAGTAAGAAGATCAGACTTTCTGAGGTATTGGGAATTGAACTTCAAGATATTTCTTGTGGGATTTTTAATGTGTGGGAAAAGACTTTTAACATGTGACCTTCCCATAATATCTAAATCAACAATATCCTGTCTGTCTCTAGGTTTAAAAGTAAAGCTACTTAAAAGAATGCAATAGAGCTGTATATGAATCTGTCTTTATTTAATCTCTGATTTCCCCTATTAGGAACATTGCACTATGACTTTCATAGTTCTTAGAGGGTTAAGCTTAGTATTTGCCAGGAAAACTAGAGTGGTTTCAGAAACTTAAGGGAGAGAAAAAAAAATCTCTCTTTTGAGTATAGGTACAGTCTAGCAACTGATTTCCAACATTGTAAGTCAACTAACCATAATGTCAGAAGAAAATTGCTTTAGGGAAAAAGAAGGAGGAGAAGAGAAAAAATAGAGAAGGAAGGGGAAGAAGAAGGAGGAAAGGTTTAAGAAATAAAGGAAAAGAAAAAAGGAAGAAAGGAAAAAAGAAAAAAGGAGCTAAATTTAGTGGCATACTACATGCACAAAAGCATAATGTGGAATTCCACTAGAAGCAATTTCTATCATCACTTACATCCCAGGATAATAAATATTTTAAATGGGAAGGAAGAAGGCTTATACGAGTTATGCCTATTTCCATGAATTTTGCTATTATTTTATTACTGACATTGTTTCTTGGTGTGCTTGGTGTACATGATATATTCCATGATTTAGGTTAATGAATTTCCTCCCCAGACAGATTCAGCTACACAAGTCTCTGCTAATGCAGGCCAGTGTCTTCTACTTGCCTTCTTGTTAAGATGTAGACATCTCTCCAACCCTATTCCGGACAAACAAAGACTGAAAAATATATTTTCTGACAGACCACTGCTACACTTCTTCCCACTGAATCCACAGTTCTGGATACATAGAACAAATGAATCAAACTCTCTTTAATTATGCTAGCTGTCACCTTCAGAATATGTATCCTCTCAGCTAGTTTCCTCATTCTTTTCTGTCTCGTTTCCCCAGTCACTCAAACCAGCATTGATTTCAGCTCTTCTGCTGTAGGGATCAAAGGAGCACCAATGGCACAGTTTCAGTTCTCATAGTCCTTGTAGACATATTTTTGCCTGGAGAAAGTTTT